GGCTCCTCATCCGTGGAAGCATGATCATCATCACCGGCGTTGGATTTCGGGTTCTTCTTGGACTTGGCCTGCTTGGGGCGCAAGACTGTCCTTAGATATGGGAACAGGGTTCGCATGTACACAACAGTTACATGAGTGCAAATTTAAAGCACAGTGGAGCCATGAGTCCGCTTCAATTTCTTCTCTTCCATCACCACACGGGATGACCTGCGTGTCAACCAAGGCGAGCGCAGCAGATGGGAAGCAGCAGCTGATTGAAGATAGAGGCTTGCGGGGGATACTGAGTTGGGTACAGTTTCTCCACGTCAGAGTTGAGCTTGCACAGCTTCTCCATAGCCCTGAGGGATGTTCAAAAAAAACTTGGTTCGGTTTCCCCCTCCCCATTATAGAACATTCCTTAAATCATCCTAGGCTCGCTTTGTCAGGGCATCCATGTCCATGCTCCGCCTTTAGCTCTGCCAAGTCATCGTGCAAGACCATTAGCTTGTCCGCCTGATCTGTCATGGTTGTCAAGCTCCTGAGAAGACAAGTTTGTATCCATGTAGGCCACAACTGGCATGGAAGAGTTCAATAATGAGACCCAGTAGCTTCTTTGCATCCTCCCCGCTGGTTTTTTTCAGCGAATCCATGGTGTTGTCCATCTTGATGCGGAGCTTCAGGATCTCAGTGAGAATGGTGGGGATGCGATCCATCTCCTGACAGGTTTTGGGGTAACATTCTGCAAGAACATCATGAAAATTCAGGGTCTTGTGGAAAACTACATATGTGGCCTCCAAAGCTTGCTCAATCTCCTCCTCCTGTGCCTTGGCAGCCTTCCTTGCACTCCTGGTCGTCTTGGTGCTGCTATTCTTCAGGATGGCTCTGCGACGGGACTTGGGGCTTGGAGTAGTCTTTGCTCGCTTCTTCTTGCTCTTCGACTTGGGGGTTGGCTCCTCCTTCTCCTCATCCTCATCATCATCCTCATTCTCATCCTCATCGGTATCATCTCCGTCTAGCTCAAGACACGCAGAGGAACTCTTTCCCAGCATGGGAGAGGGGAGTTCGCAATCATGGTCATCCACAATCACGTAGCTCTGATTGAGCTCTTCACTGTGCAGTGTGTCAAGTCGACCAACCGTCTCAACGTCGACCCAAAACTCACGCACGTGCTTTTCGTACTTGTCTTTCCTGCAGGGACTCCCAAACCAACTTACTTCCCAACCCCAGCCCCAACCCAGAGCCATCCCTACAAAACATCATCACTTGCAGGCCTTGTCAACAGCTTCTTCCTGGCCTTCGTGGCCGTGCAATACTTGACGATGGCCTTTATGCGCTGCCTTAGCTGCAACTGGAATCAGCACCCTGACGGAATGATAGGCGAAAGGTGGTTTCCTTAAAGCGGGGGCCCAATATAAACCCAAAGATTCCTACACTTCTTATATAACATGGGACCCCATAAAAGGTACTCTTAATTTTGGGAAGCTAAATATTAGGGTGGCCAACTTTGGGTGCAGGCTAGGAGCGACTTGAACTTGAGCTCAGTCCGCATCCTCTCCTCGCTGTAGAATCCTGACTTGATGGAAAGCAGGCACTCCTTCTTCTGCTTGATCACCAGCTCCATGTGCCGGTGGAAAGCATCCTACAGGAAGTGCCCATGTAATTGATCCCACAACCCATCCCACTATCAAGCCTATATATAGACCCAATTGCCAAAGCTCCTTATACCTAAACCCTAGCCTAATATATACAACCCGATAACCCCTATGAAAACCCTATATAACCTCGCAAGCTAACATTCAGTCCTTGTTGCCTCTGGCGGCAATGAACGCATTGAGGAGCTGCTTCCTTGCCGTGGTAGACTTCCACTTTTCAGCCACTTCGGCCGACACTTGCAGAGTCCCCCTTTTGGCACTCTTCCTACACATTCTGCGCAATGTTGCATCATAGTTCTTCCACTGCTGCTTTGTGATGCGGATGAGGGCCTTTAGGGTAAGAATACTCATTTAAACAATGTAGGAAAACCGTATTTACATTAACAACAGCTACACCAATGCCTTCTTGTCCTTCGGGGATGGCTTGCTACGCTTATCCTTTGGAGACTTCGCTGGGGGGGTAGCACTCAACGCGGAAGTTGCCGAGGAAGTTGCTGCTGAGGAGGGCGTTGGCAAGGGGCGCTTCTTTTTCTTCACCGCCGGGTTTGGGGATGAGAAATCCAAGTTCTTCTTTGGGGATGAGAAATCCAACTTCTTCGCTTTAACAGGGCTAATCTCCGCTTCCTTTTCAGGGGCAGAAGCTGGAAGGACCTCAGGCACCACCTCGGGCACAGGGCTTCCATTCTCAGTGGAAATCAGGGGCTCCCAATATGGATCATCGATATCAGCCTCCTTAGTTCGTGGGAGGCACACATGATGAGTCAAGTGGAGTTTTTCAAACACCGAACTAGCCAAGGCACGGTGGGCGAGATCGGCTCCTCAATATCAAGAGGCTGCTCGGATGGAAGAGAGGCCTTGAAGAAATCCATAATCTCATCATCGTCCTAAGTTTCACACAGTGTCGCAAAATGATTTAGAAGGGCTTTGCAGAGTTGAGGGTGTGTAGTGCTGTCTAGCAGCCGGATCGAGGAGCTCATCATCAGAGCCAGCTGCATCAGTTGCATGACCCAAACCTGAATAATCACCATTCTCATCCACCTTATCCACCAGCGTGTCCTCATAACCTGCTGTTGGAAAGGCTGCTTCCCATGCTTGCTGCTCTGCCGGCTGCGCATCAGAAGACACTGGTCTAGCTATCGCAGGTAGCGCACGGCAAGGGGTTGGAATGGGGCGGGCAGCATCATCCACAGTGTGTGCAACAGCTGCCATCTCAGGCTCTGGAGCGGCGAGCCCTTCCTGCTGGATCAGCTCTGCTTTGGCCTTCAGCGCGGCCAGCAATTTCTCGGCAACCTTGGATGGGCCATGATTCAATTATAGGGTTCTTAGGATTACCATGGTTTGGGGAGTGGAACA